TTGTCACTGGTGCTGTGACTGGAACATTGCCTGCTGGGGCTGGATATGTTGTCACAGGATTAGTTACAGGTTGTGCACCTGGAACTGTAATAGGTGCTGGTGTTGTGACTGGATTGGTAATTGGTGGTGGTGGATTGACAGAAGGGTTTGTAGGGGGGACATTGACAGGTGTGGTGTTGGGGAAAGGTAATGGAGTGGATACAGGATTGGTAGGTGTTACAGTGACTGGATTGGTAGCAGGGACAGTGACTATTGTTGGCGTTGGAGTATCTGGCAGGAAAGTGACGACAGGTGGAGTCGATCCAGGATTTGTTGGAAAAACTGTAGGTGGATTAATTATATCATCATGTAAAGTAGTTTTGAAGTTTCTCAAGATTTCTCTTCGAGATGAAGGAAAGACTTGCTCATGTTCCCTCTCCAGCTCGTTTTCCGCGAAATCTTCTACAGAAGATCCCTGGCACACCGATCGCTGGTGGGGATGTTGCTGGATTTGCAGGTGATGTTGTCGCTGGATTTGCAGGTGATGTTGTGGGCGCTGGCAATGATGGAGTGGATGACGACGACGACGACAACGGATAAATGCAGGAACCAGTGCCTGTTTCAATGTTATGCAAGTCTGAGAAATAGTTTTGAATATTCAGAGCATTAATTTTGAGCACAATTCCACATGTGTGGGTCAATTAGATTCTTACTTGGATTCACATTAACAGTAGCGGCAGTCCCTCCGAAATCACAGCTAGTTGCCACAGGATTCTTCTGATAATAGCTGTTGAATGCATACGAGGCATGGTTTTGAAGAGAGTTTGGATTGTAACAATTCCCACCTTGCTGGATCTGTGAACAATCAGCACCTCCCATTCCACATGCATAATCTAACGCTGACTGAAGTGCCGTGTCCATCACTCCGGACCTTGCAACACACCAGCTCTGTCCTGGAATTGCTGGAGCATTTGTCGTAGCAGGAGGTGCCACAGGATTTGTCACTGGTGCTGTGACTGGAACATTGCCTGCTGGGGCTGGATATGTTGTCACAGGATTAGTTACAGGTTGTGCTCCTGGAACTGTAATAGGTGCTGGTGTTGTGACTGGATTGGTAATTGGTGGTGGTGGATTGACAGAAGGGTTTGTAGGGGGGACATTGACAGGTGTGGTGTTGGGGAAAGGTAATGGAGTGGATACAGGATTGGTAGGTGTTACAGTGACTGGATTGGTAGCAGGGACAGTGACTATTGTTGGTGTTGGAGTATCTGGCAGGAAAGTGACGACAGGTGGAGTCGATCCAGGATTTGTTGGAAAAACTGTAGGTGGATTAATTATATCATCATGTAAAGTAGTTTTGAAGTTTCTCAAGATTTCTCTTCGAGATGAAGGAAAGACTTGCTCATGTTCCCTCTCCAGCTCGTTTTCCGCGAAATCTTCTACAGAAGATACTTCTGCATACAATCCAGCTACCTGACCTCTGATCTTAGTGTTTTCTAAAGATTTTGAAACCCTAACTCCAAATTCAGCTACTTCTTTTGCACCAGGAATAACAAGGCTCTTGATAATCATAACTATGGGAGCATCATTGGGAGAAAGTAGAGAAGTGGCAACTGCAACTTTTTGGATCATTGACTGAATAAACAAATCTTTCATGCCCAGTTCAACATCCATATCAAGACTGGTTTCTACAATGACAAAAGACGTAGTTCTCTTGATAAATCCCAAAATCCTACGGAGATCTTTTTCTCGTGTTCTATTCAAATTTTCTAAGAATGACAGAGAAAATGCTACTGAGACCTTAACTTCCCTGTCAACATGAAAGCTACTCAGGACAGAATGGATTGATTTCAAGGCGGGTAAAAGCTTTGACAAGCCATTGTTGCCACTTACAATGATGCTTCTAGTGTACACATGGGGCAGAAAGGTCACTATTTGGGCCTTAAGCCAAGAAATGGCAGATGGTTCAGACTCTGTCAAATTCTCAACCAAGCTGTCATCTAAATAAAGATCGGCAGACACATTAAAGTAGGAAAGTGTACTCAAAACCCTGTGATCTGCAGCAAAAACTCGAATATGACTTGCAGAGACCTTGTTTAGCTCAAGAAACGATACTATTCTGCCAAGTGAAGAAGCTGAAGTGATTCCCCTGGCATTGTAAGAGAAACCCACAAAAGTTCCTATAACATAGAAACAAGAAATGATCCAAGTCAACAAAGCTTCAAAGAATTTGAGCTCATCCATGATTTCAAACAAACAAATACTATACATCTTCAAATAAGTGGGGCATGCTTAACTCTTCTTAGCGCTGAATTAAGAGAAAAAACAGTAAGCAATAGCAGATAATTACCTGAAGAGCTAAGAGTGAGAAGAGACAAGAAGAATAAGAATAGCCCATTTGAAGCTACTTTGGCCATCATAATCAGAGGTAGTTTTCTGGGTTTCAGGAGAAGAACCCTATGGATTTTTAGTGAGATTCATACAATAGTAGAGCTTAAAAAACACGACGCTAATAGAATAAAGATAAGAGATATAGAAGGGGAAAAGCCAAAAGGTGTTGTGGATGAAAGGTTAGTAGAGAAGAGAGAGAGAGAAAGCAAAAGGAAGATGACTAAGTTTACATGTACTGATAAAGGAAAGAGGTTACTGTCATGAAGGATAGGGCTAGAAAATGCTGTGTTCCTCAACAGTAGAGAGAATCAAGTAGTCAGCTACTGCTTTTCTAGCTTCTTTATCTTTCCCAAAAACACAGTTGGGCGCAAAATATAAAGCACCTTCCTTCACCCTAGGACAAATTCCATGAGATATGGCCACATGCACGTTACACAGTATAAATATACGCAAAGATGGCATGCCTTTGTCCACTTGTCCCAATAGGGTTTGGAAAATACATGGCAAGACATGCTCACATATGCTGCCCTCATACACGCTTTGCAATGTTATGAATAACCACAGTAAAATGTTTCTCAATCCTCTTGAATCCATCAATATTGCGTTGACCAACAACGCTTACTTGTTTTATGTTACTGATTTCCACTAACAGTTAACAAGCCTAAACTTTCTTTACCGTCTGTTAAGATTCTATTGTGGAAGCAGAACCTCCGAGCAGACAGCTAGCTTTTTAAAGGGTTATAGAAGACAGTGTCATTAACCCACCCAGTCAACTCGGGGCCCGAGTCTTGAACTGGATCTCTATGAAGTATGAAAAAAGAATCTAGAAGCAACAAGTGGGTTGAAGAAAATGCCTAAAGTTTAGTTGAGACTAAGCCACAAGGATAATGCTCTGCTGCTGTCAGCATCCATTACACTGTCTTAACAGATCCTCGAGGATTCGAAATTGGCTGGGCAATGTACGAGGAGGATATCAAAGTCAGTTCTGGTTAGCTCACCAAGTTTCAAAAAAAAAAAAACATAATTTATTTTATCATAATTAAAAGTGATGAAAAATTCAAGGGCTAAAAAGAGGCTTTGGATGAGGCCTCAACCTTCAACCAAGATGTTAATGATTTTTATTTGTCTAAGCCGCCATTTTTCAGCAAGCATTGTTATTTTCTTGAAATAAAAGAGATGAATATAACGAAGATAGGTATAACAATTTTCTCTTTACTTCTTGTTTTAAAAATCCATAAAATTATTTTAAAATTATCTTATATTATGTTTATGTTTTTGTCTCTTCAATTATATATATATATATATATATATTTATTTATTTTTCCTGGTACTCTAACTAACCGAATGTAAAGGAACAAATAAGCATACATTTACATAATTTGCATACATCTGTATATATAATAAAATTCCCAGCAGCAAACTTGTCAAGTTAACCAAATTCATCCCTCTACAATTAATTTGATTAATGGAGTCCCTCTACATTACATGCCACCCTTAATCCATAAGGGTATCAATATTGACTTTGCCGTGGACGTTTGACACATGTACATTAATTAAACAAAAAACAGAAGGACCCAGCTGATCAAGTAAACATAGTAGAGAGACCGTGGGTGTAATTTACCTTGGTAACTAAACTATTAGTAGGGCCACTTTCCATGGGATATTCCATTGAGTAGGGACAGCCCATGTGGAGCAATGTATTGTGCTTCTCTGCTTTTCAAGTTCTTATGACTTCACAAGTACCTTGTCTGACTAGGTCACACTTCACAGCCGAAAGCGAGCACAGTCCTATTGGCGGTGATAAGGTAGATTCCATGGTTGTAAGACCTTACATGGCGGTTGGGCCCGGCCAACCTGCTCTGCTAGCTTGGGGCTGGTTATACAAGGATTTACTGAAAATTGACATTGTTTTAAAACGATGCTGAATTGATTCGGTTTAACGGTTTAATAGCTTTTTCGATAGAAAACAGAAATCCATGCATGAATCATGATTAAAAAGAAAAAGGAAGAGGGAAAAAAAGCTCTAAAAGAGGTGCTGGTACTTTCAATATCTGATACATGTGTGCCTTTTCTGATTTTGCATTGTAAAATGGAGGATAAATCTGCCTACCATTATTCTTACATTTCGAGTCATTCACTGCTATAGAATCAGAGATTTAAGGTAAAGGGTGATACTTGATGACATTCATCATGTTGTGTGTGTCCACACCTTTTGGAGCATCCCAAGCAGATTTCTGGTCAGAGGGATAGAAAGTAGTGCATCTCATCTTTGAATTTCTTTCCATTCTCTTCCCAGCTGTTACTTTTGGGCATCCAATGAACATATTCTTCCACACGATTAAAGAAGGGGAGAACAAAAGAGGTTTTAAAGTCAATAAAAGCTGATAGAGCAACGATCTTGTGTAGTGTAATTTGCTGGTCCAAAAGCAAGGAGCAGGTAGTTCATTAAAACTATAAATGGAGAGAGAGAGAGCCTTCAGTTTACCAACTAGACTGCAACATTTGATGCTATGACGCGTCACATTTACTGAAAGCAAAAGAACTAGATATGCTCTGTTAAAATAAAAGGCTCTAGAGAGATGCATATGTGAACTATAAACACTAGACAGCCTTACATGGCAACCACTCAGTGAACTTCAAATCCATGACATGAACTCTCATTTCCTTTGTTAGCGGCAATGGTACATCTGTTCTGCAGAGTTCTGCAACAACTTTGTTGGTCGTACACTGCACCGTCACAAGACGCTAGTTGTGAGTCATAACTAGCATCTATGTTCTACTTTAACAAACTGTGATTGGATATGCCTTCTTCCAAGTCCTACATGATTTTCTAACCTAGCCCCCCTAGAACATACAAGAAAGGAGTAATCGTCCTAAATAAGTATCCACTTGTAAGCAATTTATTCACACAACAAGCAAGTTGCTGAAGAAAGGATCCGAAATAATAGCTTCCTTAGCTGAATTATACTTGCTGAGACGCTTTTTGAACGAGCGCAAATCTCTCTCATTTTTTGAAGAGCGATCCTGCAATCAAATCAATAGTAAGTGGAGCAGACAAGAGATTTAATCACTATCTCTAACCGTTACAGTTGAAATGGTTGTATTCAGATTGGAATGCAACAGAATTTGTGTTTCTTCTTTCGTGGGACTTGTTAGTTTTCCATGTATGAAAATTCTTTTGCAGCCTTGTCTGCACTACACTGTTGGGAGGTGCTTTTATTAAAAATTAAGGACAACAAACAGTGAAAGGAACAAAACGTGGAGAATTTGATATATCAAGAATATAATTCATTTTCTAGTTTCTAGAAAACGACACTTACAAAAGATTTCTTCAGGAGCAGTATGTCCACCAAGTATAGCAACCACAACACATTTGTCTTGGGGAAGCTGTAGAAAATGAGACAAAACAGTCATAATATCTTTCCAATAACCAAAGATGAAGTTTTGAAATCAAGAAAAGTTTTGTTTTTTTTAAAAAAAAAAAGCTACAAGAAAAGCCCCTGAACAAGTACGAGAAAACAAAAGAAACAAGAAGTTGTCTTTCCCAGTGTTTGAAACCAGGACATCCTGATAGTGTATGGACAAACCAATATTGTGGTAAAAATGACTTGAATGCATATCTCCAAAGGGCATCAAATGATAGGTGCAACCACACATGCCACATTTATGGAAATAATCAGCGTTGCAGTTGAGTACATTTTACATGAATAGGTTGTGGTTATGTTCAGCAGAAATTAAGTACAGTAACAGCACTCAATAGGTTGTGGTTATGTTCAGCAGAAATAGCATCGATTTTAACTGTTCCAAATCTAACTCCTTCTGATATAAATGAAGTACAGTAACAGCACCAGCATGTTCCTCTTATGCGTATAAGAAAGAAAAGCTATCAGAAATATTACCTTCCTTCCCAGAAGTCTTCAGTTACTTCTTTCATCTTCCTATATGTTTCTGCCTGCACATGATGTTAGAATTCAATCAGCCAATATTATGATATAAACATTGCCTACAACTTGTATTGTGGTTCTTGCCTGTCTATCTCCTTTTGGACCCTTAAAGAGATATGGGTCCGAGGTTAGGTCCAGGAAGAGTATATCTTGACCTGTGTAAATAAAAGTCTGTTAGATTATCATGAATCAAGTATAAATCTAAGCATTTATGTGGATAACATAAGAGAAATTAAAGAACACTCACCTGTGTTAATTCTGGAAAGAGTAAAATCAATTATTGATATCAATAATCCTGAAGTTCTGAAAATCATTTTGTTCCCCTCCAGGATAAACTGCACTGTAGCTGATTCATTTCGACGCAAAAGAATGTTTCCCCTGCAACAAAACAGGTCCTAAATCAGCTCTCAAGAAAAAAACATGATATTATTTGATTGCAGGATCAACAAACCAGTGCAGGTCCCGGTGCTCAAATTCATATGCAGCTTCTGCAACAGCTAAGCCAGCAGTAACCTGCAAAAGCATGATAGACACAGTGAACATTGAAGGCGGCGGCAGCTCAGTGAAGAATTGACTTAAAATGCTAAAATAAAAGGTGCACAATTACCTGAACCAATAAACTCTGTGCTTCATCAAAGTTTAAGAGCACAAAGCTTTCAAGGTCTTTCCCGCCATGTTGTAGCACAAACACCACATAGCACTGCACAAATTAATTAGACATGGTAAGCAAACCTATAAACATTACTCTGGAAACTTGCAGCGTCAATGTCATGTGGGGATTTTGCAACTTCAGCCAATTCAATTTAAACATATTTACATATAAAACATGCATATTGTGTGTGCTAGAAGTGGATGTATCTTTGAAAGCAACAGTCAGTTATGTCTATAAAGGCCCCATGCTAAACCTGTTTCTCCGGAAACTCCTTAGGATGATCATTTTCAGAACCATGTTTTTCATCCCAGTATTCCCATGCTTTAACCAAGGCAGGGTCATAAGGACCTTGGCAAACTCTTAAGCTGCAAATAAAAGAGATCATTAGATATGACCTGCAGAAAATCTAAAAAGTAAAAAGCTTAAGACTACAGAAGATATGTAATTTCATGTGAAGACGAATTTCATTTATTCATAAGTTGAGTCAACCCTTGGCGTATCAGTCTACTAGTTTATAGACAAATGCTATAGCTCAATTCAATTTGCAAAGCAAAGCCCAACAACCATAACCCATTGAACATTTCTTCAACCAGAATGTAAGCTTACTGAACATACTAAAATGAAAGCAACCTATAATTGATTATTGTTTTGCGAGGATACCAAGTAGCAGAAAAAATGTAATAGTACTTTGAACATACTCTAGAGTTTCAATGAAGGTTGTGCAAGAATTGTCAAAATCAGCATCATGGAATCTGAGATTGTTGAGGGTTCGAGAAAGGATAACCTCCTCAAGCAATTCTTCTGATCTCTGGAGCACGGCAAATCAAACGTTTCAGTAACAATACTCCATGAAGAAAGTGTCAATATGATAACAATGAATACAACTCTGCCTATCACAATGATCGTGAAAAATTTCACAGAAAAGTTAGAACTAGATGAGAAATTTCACAGAAAAGTTAGAACTAGAGATGTTACTGTTCCATACCTTCTGCACTTCTCCATTTACCAGTAAGTCCCCATCAATAGGAACTATTTTACAGACAGTATTACCAGCTTTAAATGCTTCTCCATAAGTTCCTTCACCGACTTTGACAATATTCTCTGTTTCACTGGATAAATAAAGTTTTATTCCTTATCAGTTTTAAGGATGAAAGAGCTCAAGTTAAATAAATCAGCAAAGATAAGTTATATGACTGAAAGTCTGGCAGTCTAATATGCGTGAATTACTGACTTTAGGGATGCAGTTATTACACAACAATCAATCACATAAATGATATGAACCACGTCCAGTCAATAAGCATGCCATGACCAAGAAAATTCCCTGAACCTAAAATGCTAAATGAGACAAATCTAACAACAATATGTGACACTTCTATTCTCAAAAGTCATACTTTCATCTTTCAAAAGCCACAGCCAACAAATCTTTAAAAGTTCTTAAAGGGCAGATGCTGATTATCAATTGTATCCATAAACTAAAGCATTAGATTGAACATCAACAATACAGTATTTGTGGTTCAGTGAATGCAGAATAGCAACAATACAACTTCCTACAGAACACGCCACAAGTTATAGATTCCAGGACAAAGTTGAAGAAAGCTTCTGTTTCTTTTTTCAACAGATGAAACTAATGATAGAACGAACTAAGACACAGTTTAAATAAAATTATCAACTAATCATTCATGAATTTTTTATATAAACTTTCCATCGCAAAGTAAGAAAAAATGTTATGAAAGTCAACCTTGGATCAAAAACAGCTGCAGACATCATCCAGATAAAATAACTGCCTCTTTTGAAAAGGAAATTTGGTTGGAAAAACTTACATATATAAAAAACTGAAGGTTTGAACCAAAATGCATTGTTTTCTTATAAAAAAATTATTGTGAGTCAAAACAATATACAAATGTAAGAGTTGAAGGGGAAAAGAGCAGCAGCATAATGGGAAAAGGAACAAACCAGTATTTGGAGAATACTTCTAGCAATGTTGATGGAACTGACTGTCCACAGACTGCCAATAGCGCAGTAACTGGATCCACATAGTCATGATCTGATAAAGAAGATGTTGAAGCTAAGGACAGTTTCTTAACTGCACCCTCAATGTCTTCACAGCCCTCATGGCCCACAAACATAGAACTGCTCTTTTGTGCAAGAGAATTCCTTTCAAGGATACCTTTACTAGGTAAATATGATCTAATTCTGCTATGGACAGAATGCAGTTTCGAATTAGTTTCAAAAACAGCTTTTTCTGGAGTTATCACATCAACACTGTTGAAATCATCGCCTCTCATAGGTCCCAAGGGAGGCATGGTTGGAGTTTCTAATATCTTTGACAGTGTACTAGAAGGCTCACAACTATAATTTAACTTCTTAGCAATTAGCCATTTCTCTAATCTTGATGACATATGTGGTATAACAACTGCATCAGTTTCATTGCCAGTGGCCCATGTACTAGAGCTTTTGGGAGATGGGCTCTCCTCCAGCAACTCGAAGGCATCGACCTCTTCAAAGTATTGCTTTTCTTTCTCAAAATTGGGAGGTTGCACTGCTTTTCCCTTCAAACACCAGGAATTAAAGCACGAAAATTACAAGGAACCAGAACGGAGGGAAAAAAAGATTACTTGGGGCTAGAAACTAGAAAGAGCAAGTGCAAGTAGAAGAAACCAGCATAGTAATAACAACACATAAGAGAAGAAGCAGGAAAAAGTAAGAATGATATACTTTTGGAACAGGTGGTTTTCCCCTTTTTCTGGCCTGTTTTTGTTGAGGCTGATTGTCCACACAAGCAGCAACAGCTATGCTTATCCTCCCTCTGAGTCAAGCACAAAATAATCCCATAGGAAAAGCAGAATCAAAATAAAAAAGAAAAATAAAAAAGAAAGGAAAAGGAAAGAAAGAAAGAAAACAAAAGGGGCATCCTTAATAAGTTTGAGAAAAAAAATTATAGCTTATATGAGTGCATCTCCATTCTCAAAAGCTGAAAATGCACTGGCCATGAATTTCCCTAGAATTAGGTGATCTCACATCAAGCCATCAAATGGCTTGAATTTTTTTCTTGTTTTTATCATTTCTCGTATCCTACGAAAATCCATATAACTCTTCTTCTGTTTATCTCTTTGCTTTTGTATAATTATTATTATCACTATTAATCAACCCCTTGAAAACTGAAAAGTGCAACACACACAAATGAGAAAAATCCAAAAGTTCAAAGGTTGCACTGCAATCACCAACTAGTCAAACTGAAACAAACAGACAAAACACAAAACCTACCAGTTAGAAACCAAACAGAAACACAATTAACAAGCAAAAGATGAATTCCATTGAAACGAATTAATTAACTTGGTGAAAGTGAGATGCACCCAAAAGATGAAAGCTTTCATTACAATCACCAACTAATCAATGAAAACCCACCAACTTAAACATCAAACCGAACCACAATCAACAAGCAAAACCCACAACTTAGAATTCATTAAAAACAGGGAATTGAATTGAGCTGAATTAACCTGGTAGAAAGTGAACGATTCCAACTGACACGTTTAGTGGCACGACCACCGCCACCGCCACCAAAACTCACTCTAATATCCTTGTCCTTCAATTCCAACTGTTTCCTGCAAAACCCAGAAACAAAAACACAAAAAGCTCAAATCTTTACACGAACACAGGCAAGAAACAGTAATAAAGTTAAGAGTTTTTTATCATTTAACATTACAAGTTGGCATCTTGTGAGGTTATTTGATTTTGGGGTGTTGCTTGTCTTCTCCTCCTTTGGTAAATGGGTTGCTGTTGTTGTTGTTGAAGTGGTTGTCTTCCTCCCCCTCCTTCTTCAGCGATGATTTCTGACCATAAATCAACTCTACTCCCTCCACCTTAAACAACAACAAAAATGTCACTGCTGCAGCTGCCTCTGAATTACATAAATAGTTTATTGTCAAAAACTGGAGATTTTTCAGGTACCTGTTTTGGAACCCATCATTAGTACAAAGTCCCAACGGGCCCTGACAAAAATCAATCCTCTGGAGAGAGGGTGTTTTGAAATGCTGGAGTTGATGCCTGGGCGGGAGTTGCACAGGACGACGTGTAGTTTTCTAGATGAGAAGGTGGTAAAACGCCGTCGTTTGATTGGGGATCCTAAAAAATAGAAATTTGCTCGGAACAATTCACTTCAATAATTTTTTTAATTAATTTTAAAGCAAATTTCAGATATCCATCGGGATCCTACTTGTTTTAATTTAATTTGACCAGGGTTTAGATAAAATCAAATTAAAGTACAGTAAAAATATAATAATCAATATTCTCTTATTAATGATGTCTTCTCAGACGGTAAAATTTGCCAAGAAAACATCCCTTTTAATGATTAAAAATATATGCTTGTAATATCGTCGCATCATTCTTTTTTACATTACATAGTAAAAATGGATCCCATCTCCGACAAAACATGCAAAACCTATCTAGTTTAAATTTAATGGGAAAAGGGCAACGTACGTCTTTTCGCTTCCCCATGTCTCTCGGTCATTATAGGCCAAGGTTACAGATTTTTCACATAATGAAGTTTTTTAACTAGGCTTTTCCCCAGGTGTAAGGTGGTGCTTGTAAATATGAAATATTTTTTATTTATAAATATATTACAATAATATATATTTTTTATTTTTTAAATTTTATTTATCATATTAATATATTAAGATGGTCTAAAATTATAAAAACTTAATTTTAAATAAAAAATTTTAAAAATATTTTTTGATCATGAAAACAAACATCCTGTAAATATATTTGGTATTGTGATACATTTATTTTTCAAAATATTTTATAATTAAAAATAAATTTAAAAAATATTTTAAAAAATTTTTATTTTTGATATTGAAATATTAAATATTAAAATGATTAAAAATATTTTAAAACAAATAAAAGTAAAAAATATGGGAAAGCTGCAAACAAAATCTGTAGGAACCATCGGAATTTAAAAATACACAAGGCAAGATCATTAGCTGACACGATTCAATGCCTTTTGACTGGAATAATATTAATCACTTCAATATTTCATTTCAGGGTGACACTTTGTAGCGGTCACCAACCCTATGAATTGCAAGAATTTCGGATGATGCTTTGTTAGCCACTGATGCCTTCGGTTAGGGGCACACAAGCAAGCATCCACACCCATTGTGCATGCATTATTGATTCTTCTCTTATCTAATCCTGCCAATAATGCAAATAATTCATCATCGTTATTATTATTATAACCTAGAACTTTGTCAAATAGGGATGGGACTTGAATGAATACTAAAGTTATTGGAATTAACCTAAGGTTAGACTTCTATGTTGTTTTGGTTTTTTTAATTGAAATGATATTATTGTAATTAAAATTTTAAAAAAAAAACTTGAAGTAATCAACAAACCTAATTACTTTGAAGCTAACTTGCACGTAGTTTTTAGACTTTGATGACATGGATTTAGACTGAGAGAGCTACATGTTAACCACCCGTACCCCAGTTATCAAAGCCCTTTCTTCCCCTTACAGAAAGCGTGCAAGAAGAAGAATGTCAATCGCGTTTGCTTCCCGAAGTTGACAGATACTTTACGTAGCCCATGTATATATATTCCCTCAGGGGTGATGCTATTTCAAATCACAATTTGTTATGGTTTCCTTTTCAATATTTCACAACAAATCAAGCCCGCCAACTACCTTCCCTTCCATCTTAATTGATGAAAAGATTGAGGAACATCAAGATCATGATCTCCCTTTTCTCGCACAACAGCAACAGTAGCCCTTTTCATCGAGTGTGTTAGGGATACAGCTTGCAAGCCAATTGACCATGAAATGAAGCATGGCTTGCACAAAAAGAGTCGTCTTAATTATATTTAGACACGCGTATGAAGTTTGCAAGGAAGAGTTCCTTCCTGCTATTTATAGTTGCATTTGAACCATGCGTGCGTATGGCTCATATACGTGCTATCATAACACGTACAATCAATCAATAAACTCTCTAGGTAACCATCATTGTTAGGCATGCAGTGATTAAAGTTTAAGAAGGCTGGGAATCCAGCTTTATGTGTCGGTATAGCCTATGAGTGGATTTTGTTTTTATTGTCATTTAAATTAAACACCGGGATGGGTGCATATCGATCATGCATTACATGACTACGTAACGTCTGCGGATCGATGCTTTATTTTCTGGTTTCTTTCATTATGCTCTTAATTGGTTTATTAATCTCTGTTAATGGATATATTGATCATGTGTTCTAATATCAAGAGTGCTAGAGTTATAATCTCATGGTCTCCTTCGGATTCTTATACGCTGAAATGGAATGTGGATCATGACTTCTCTCTACTGGCAAGCCTTGTCCAACTGATATACATATATAGGAGGGGTTCTTCGCGATTGCAAATTAAGGTCCGGTGTTAGGTTTTTTCTCTGCTCTTGCTGGGATGAAAAATTCAAATGAAACTATGATTGTAGTTGTGATTAAAGCTCTGGAGTTATATTCTTTACGAGAGGACCTTTTTTTTTTTGGAGTAAAACCCATCTTAAAATCGGGCTCCACTAGTATCATCAACAGGATGAGTAATTAAGCCAGGTATTAGAACATAAAAATTTAAATGTGGATGACTTTTTTGTTGTATTTGCTGCTTGGCACTATATGTCTCGTAAACCGTTGCTTTAGAATTAAGGCTTGCTTAATCACACTGCTCAAAATATTGATGATGATGATTCACATGCAAGAGTACTTGCAATATACATTCCATTCTCAATTTTCCTTTGGTTGCTTGGGAAAGTTCAAGAATAAAGGCCGAGAGCAAAACGAAGGAGAGGACTGGGAACAAAAAAAAAATCAAGACTTGTTTTCTTGTCATCTAGGAAAGGCTCTTGTGTTTAGTAATTGAATAGCTCAACACCTCTTCCCATCACGTGGTACGGGTCATGTTTTGATGAATTTATTTTTGTTTTTAAAATTAATAATTATATTTTTATTTCTCCTGTATTTCTTTTTAGAACACTGGCTAAACATGACTTGTGCAATAAAACATATTCTTCAATCAACTTGTGTTGTAGTTGAGATTGGGTTCTTCTCCGAAACAATCCTGGCAGCATGAAATTTAGAGAGTTTGCAAGAAAGGGATGACTAAACCCGACCATTAAACCTATTTTTTAAACTATCATTAATGATTAATCAAGTCCACGGACATCGAGATCACGGAATCAAATGGCAATCATGTTTTCAACAAAGGGGTCACGGGCTGCTTAAATTAAGGTTAGGAGCACGAGGGAGATTACCACCACGCTTGCTTTATTCAAAGGAGGCAGATGATGTCCCAGACAGTGAGCTTTTTTTCTCTAATCTAGTGCTCGTATCGTTATCATGAGATCACAGCTGGATGAACGAGATCTAATATAGAGCCATTTCTGGGTTGAAGATCTATAAACATGCAATATCTCTCAGCTTTGAAATTAAAATATTTTCGAACTTTCCGACAATGTGATTAAATGCCATGTCGAACTTCCCGTCAAATTTAATTTCAATAACATCCCTTAATTACGAGTGTAAAATGTAACAGAGCCTTGTGTGTGTGTGTGTAATAAATTTACTTATAAAATAACATCCCTTAATTTTATGATAGGTGGCTATGCAGTTCCCATCCATAAAACATATAAAATAAAATAAAAACTAGAAAGGTGTACTGACCCATCACCGCAGCTCCTGAATTTTTATTTTATTCTACTATAAGTAGTGCTAATTGAAACAACATAATCTTTTAAATTTTAATAGGTTAGGTTGATAGAAACAACACAACTATTTAAAGTATGCCGTTTTTCTTTCTTTATTTTTCCTAAACTGTACCCATCTGCTAATTTTTTGTTTTATTTTGATGGTATTTAAAAAAAAAATTTAACTCCAATAGATATAGATTGTGGAGGTGGCATTATATGCCCTATGTAGCTTCATGGAAGAACTATGATCACACTGGGAAAAGAGGCTTGCATGAAGGGAATTGAGGAAAGTTTAAAAGACTGAGTTTTGCACGCGATGGTGAAGGAAAGTTTAAAAGACTGAGTTTTGCACACGATGGTGAAATTATTTTTCATACTATAATATATTAAAATAAATTTTTTATTTTTTAAAAAATTATTTTTTAAAATCAATATGTTAAAATGATTTAAAACACATAAAATTTTATGTTAAAATGATTTAAAACACATAAAAAAATTATTTTTAATAAAATAATAAATTTTTAAAAAACATGATTTGCACTCCGTTTTCAAATGGTGTCTTAATTTTATGAGATAAAGTAGTTGTAATTATTTTTTAAAATATTTTTTATTTTAAAAATTATTAAAATAACATTGTTTTTAATAAAAAACATAAAAAATTAATTTTAAACAAAATAAATTCCCAGATCTCCTTTTAGAGAGCACTCACAAACGGGGTCTTGATAGAAAGTTATTTTCTATGAGATGTATTAGCCATTAAAGAAAATCAAAGGATTTGATGGTCTATTTACCTCTTTGATACAAAGTATAACTGCTAATTTACCCTAAAATAATGTTTTTCTCATGTCAACGGCCTTTATGGATTTTTCAATTTTTTTTGTGCTCCATGATTATTTAAATACCCCTAATAAAATAATATTTTATAGCTTTAGAAGCCAGGGCACTTTAGTTAATTTACTATGGTTTTTGTGTTATTCACGGGAGATATCAGTGGTAATTGAGTCTTTTAGTGCGTGGTCAAAATACTACCAATTGAGATGTGGTCATTTTTTTTCCCCCTTCTCTCCGCTACCAGCTAGAAAAATACATTGGCCTTTGAAGAAAAAAACAGATATATGATTATTTGTATGTTGAGTCAAATCAAGTTTTTATTTTTTATGATAATATATTTATTATTTGATAATTTATTAGGTTAATTTTGTTGTTTTAATTTTATCCATTAATATTTATTTTTATATTAATTTTAATTATTATTTTTTTAACTATTATTTCTAGTTTTCCTTATTATTTTTCTTATTTAAAATTGTTTATTGATTTCATCTTCATGATTTGATTTTTTTATTAAATTTAATTTTTATTATTTT